GAATAGAGCCTTTTATTTACTGAGCTCAGGTCTGTCAGCCACTTCTCTCGCAGGAGAAGGCTGATCAGCCCCGAACGTAGGTAGCAGGGGGGTATTTATAACAGAAATCACATCCAGTTTGGTAAGCAAATTTATTACCTAGCACAGAACAATAGAAAACTGCATTCATTTGACACAGCTGCAAACTGTTCGTAACTAAAGGGTCTTTCACAGCTTAGTGATAAGTGCATATTTTTACAAGATACATCTTAAGCTGACTACATTACAGGAGATGATTGGGGAGGGAGTTTGTTTTAGCTTGCTGCCTTGACAAGAAACAGTTATTTATTGTTAAACAGCCTTGAGCCAAAAGGGAGAACACATTTCTTAGAGCAGATAACAGGAAGCACAAGCATTTTTTTAAATAATTTCCCACAGTTAAGGCACAAAATTCTGTTAAGCCTTTACAGATAAACCTTGAACCATATTCCTTTTGTTTGTTTGTTTGTTTGGGTTTTTTTGTATTTTAGGGAAGGGTCTACAGGGTGCTCAAGGTCTCATCACTAGATCCAACTCTAGTGGTCCACTTGTTTATAGCCTCCCAAGAGCTGAGATCACAGGCGCGCGCCACCACGCCCAGTCTCAATTGCCGTCTCAGCACACCCCAGTGGTAGGGCCAGCATGGCAGGCCCAGGGATCGAACCCCCAGCCCCTGCACCTGTTTGCAGTTGCTTTAATCCGCTGAGCTATTTGGCCAGCCCGGAGACCATACTCTTAAGTGAAATAAATTGGACACAACAAGTTTAAATATCACATGGTTTCTCTGGTGTGAGAAACCAAAAGTATAAATAAGGACCAAAACGTATACTAGATATTGTGAAATGGAAACAAAATGTTCAAATGGGAAGGGGAAATAGGGATTGCAAAAGAAGAAAGGAAAGAAGGGATAAAAGAAGGAAAAATTAAAACAAAGCTTTTGCAAATAAGTAGAAGAGGGGTTGAAGGGTGGGGAGGGGAAGGGGAAAAAAGAAAAAGCAAGATATGTCACGTACTGGTACGAACTCCCTATGATGAATGTGATGTTATATATGTATCTAAAATGAACCAATAAAAAATAAGTTAGAAGAAAAGAAAAGGGTAGAGCATGGTGGCACACACCTGTAATCCCAGCACTTGGGATGCTAAGGCAGGAGAACTGTTTCGAGTTCAGGACCACCATGGGCTACAAAGAGAGCTCAAGCCTCGCCTGACAGGCAGAGCGAAACCATGTTTCAAAAAAAAAAAAAAAAAAAGTGACCAATACAAGGAAATGTTAATCTTTGAGTTTTACCTTTTATATTTGAAATACATCAGTTTTGATGGCTATTGAGCCTTGGCTCAAAAAAAGAAAAGAAGGAAGGGAGGGAGGAAGGGAAGGAGGGGAGGGAGGAAGGGAGAGAAAAAGAAAATGCTGGAAGCACCACAATGCCCACCAACCACTGGATGGTACAGTATGATCGAGCTTATCATCCAGCTCTGTCTTAGCCACCTTCCCTGACTAGGACAACATACCTGACACCCACAATTTAAAGGCTAACAAGTTCACTTGGCTCATAGTGTTCAGAGAACAATCCATGGTTACAAAGCAGAGATGGAAGGATTCTAGGAATTGGAAGGCAGTTTGGGCTACATAGTAAGAGTCTATCTCAAAACATTCTATTTATTTATTTATTTATTTATTTATTTATTGTTTTTTGGAGAACTGGGGATTGAACTCAGGCCTTTGCGCTTGCCAGGGAAGCGCTTATTCGACTGAGCCATCTCCCTAGCTGGGGAACATTTTAGATCCGAGTCAGTCTCCTGGTGCAAGTCCCAAGGTCATTTGGTGCTCTTTTTTTATCTTTTTTTTTTCCCCCTACCTGTATTGTAATATAAGGAAAGGAGACAGGCAGCAGCTGCTGCTCCTCCCTTTGTTCTCTGCTGGTTCCTGCAACCATAAAGGGGCCGCCCTCTGCCATGTGCCACTCACCTTAGAGCTAGCCAACTCTGGACTGAAATCTCCACTAACTGTGAGCTAAATGAACCTTTCCTTCCTTAATTCTAGGTAACTGAATTTTGTCTCAGCAATGAGAGAAAGGTAACTGAGACACTAGGCCTGCCCTTCACCTATTTCCCTGGTCAATTTCTCTAGTAAAGCTTGTTTTTATTGCCCAGTCAGGATTAGCTAGATCCTTTTTTCTTTTCTTTTTTTGAGACAGGATCTCACTATGCAGTTGAGGCTGGCCTTGAGCTTACTTTGTAGCCCGCGCTAGCCTCAAACTTGCAACGAACCTCCTGCCTCAGTCTCCTGAGTGCTGGGATTACAGATGTGTGTCACCACAACCAGCAGGATTAACCAGATCTAAGGAGGCCTCTATGCTACTTTCTTCCCCCGTCTACAGACCCTGAACCTTACATTATGTAACTCAGACAGGTCTTGAACTTACTAGGTAGCCCTGGCTGGTCTTGAACTCACAACAATCCTGCCCCAGTCGCCTGAGTGTTGAGATGACAGGTGTGTACCACTATGCCTGGCTTTTTTTTTT